TTTTCTTATTTCACATGAAAAACATTCTTGTTATTATTATTATTATGGACGTTATTAATATGATGAATAATGTTCTCATCATGATTAATAGAATGGTTGTATAGTTATTTACCTGGGACTGAACTCTGTGCGATGATCACCTCACTGGGTAAAACCAGACTGGACAACTTCTGCACCTCTGCACAAAAACACACAAAAACCAAACACACACATGTTCACAATTTATTCGACATCTTAAATCTAAAGGACATAATTCACAAACATGACAAAGATCCAAAATCAAGAGTTTTGTTCGAGCATGAGGTCCGTGAAAGAAAAAGGTTCAATTCCCCTCCGACACAATCCAACACTCCAGAGGAGAGAACCAAGTCAGAGTTAAATAAGAAAAGGAAAAATAGAAAATGAAAAATAGAATTTATAGAGTGAAATAAAAGAATTAAAAAGAGGAAGAAAATAGTCTATTTTCTCTATTTTCTCCTTTACGTCACAACCAGTGTCACGCTCCGCGCGCACCGTGACGCTGGTTGTGACTTTAATTAAGAAAATAGATTTGAATGGGGAAAATATTTTTCGATGGAGGATTCGATCCAAATTAAAAACCAGGAGAGAAAGAACCAAGTCACACACGGCACCAGGCGCCGGGGAGCGCGCACACACACGCACGCAGCGCTGCGGGATTCACGATCCTGCAAATGACAAAATAAAGTTTTAGGAACGAAACGAGAAAGTCCGGACCCCGGGCCCAGCTCCGATCTGTTCTCTGAAATTGTTCCTAACGAATTTGATGAAAAACAGAAACGAATGAACGTTTAAAATGAATTTAAAATCAGATGCTGAGAAAAGATGTGTCCGAGTATTTTAAAGAACACGAGCAACAGAATGGATCAAAGATGAAATGAATGGAAGAGTTCATGATGTGAACGGAGTCAAAGTGTTTGATCGATGCTTGATTGATTATATATAATATATAATATATAATAATTACTGATGAATGATTTAATAAAGCAGAGTCATTGAGCAGGTTGGATTTATTTTATTCCTTTTTGAATCACTTTGAGTTTTTAAATTCACATTTTCTTTCAGCAACGCTTCAGTGTTTTGGTTTAATTGACAAGATTAATTATGATTTATAATCATTTATCAGATTTTATTCATGAATGATAAATTATATTGTTTTGTTTGAAAAATCAAACCGGGGCGGAATCTTGATTTCGATGATTTGAATCTCAGAATAAAACGTTTCAAGTTGAACTGAAATAATTGAAAAAGATTTCCTGATTGATTTCATCGGTTGATCGCGTCACTCACCTCCGGAGAAGGACTGCGCGAGCACCTCGGCGGTGAACGCGGTCTTGGGGCTCGAGCTCGGGGCCGTGCGCTCCTCGTGCTGCAGGTGAAGCGCGTGCTGGTGGTGGTGGTCGCCCAGCACGTGCCTCCAGCGGCCGTAGAGGAAGCTGTGCAGGATGTCCGAGGTGATGATGTCCGCCAGACACAGCGGCTGCTTCAGGGCCACAGAGGAGCCCATAGCGCGGCGCACAGAGCCGGGGGCCGCGGTCAGGGGCCCGGGGGACACGGGGGACACGGAGGACACGGAGGACACGGGGGACACGGAGGACACGGAGGACACGGGGGACACGGAGGACACGGAGGACACGGGGGACACGGAGGAGGAGAAGCCTCCGAAAGTTTTCGCTAAAAAGTCCACAAATCCAGAAAAGAAGAAAACGTCCACGGGTCCTGTTCTTTTTGAAAGAAATAAAATATAAAGTTTGTTTAAGGAGAAAAATGATAAATCAAAAATAATTTCATTAATAGAAATTAAGAAGAGAGAGAGACACGAAGC